CTTGATTGAAAGGTATATGCTTGATTTACCATTGCAAATGAAAAAGCATGGTCTGTTGTTCGGTACTCAATGAAGATACATTTTATCAAATTCCGAGGTTTTTTTTATCAAATTCAGAGCTCACCAATTAGGGGAAAAAATAATTAAACACTCAGCCAGGAACGATTATTTTTTACTAGAAATAAGAACCTGTTAAGAATCGACATGGCGAAATTTCTCACTGACCTTAATATATAAGAACCACTTCCGCCTGACATGAAAAACAGTGGTATAGTTTCATGCCGATTTTTACTGTAACAGAATGAAAGTTAGAATGATATTCAAAGGATACATCTGCAGCGTGATTTTCTGCCAACAAATCAATCAAACGATCATTGTACAATTCCAACATATACACAGAAACCTTGAAGCTGAATTTACCCCTATTGAAATAAGAAAAAAATACAATTATACATAGTCAAAGTTACAGAATATGTAGCAGATGTCTATATCATGTCTACAATGGACATCTAAATTAAATAATGGCCGTACTTGTTTTCATTGATGACGGAGAACATTCTCTCCATGGCTCGAGGAGCAATACCAGGGAACTTCTGTTCTTTGTCGCCAATCATTGTGAAAGTACACAAAGTGAAGGATAAAATACAGGAACACACTTCGCATTACTTATACCATGTCATAACAACACCATCACGTATCATGCCATAGTACCAAACCATAGCATACTATACCACACTAGATCGTACCATACCATACAATACCATACCATACCATACCATACCATACCATACCATACCATACCATACCATACAATACAATACAATACAATACCATACCATACCATACCATACCATACCATACAATACAATACAATACAAAACCATACCATACCATACCATACCATACCATACCATACAATACAATACAGTGCCATACCATACAATACCATACCATACCATACCATACCATACCATACCATACAATACAATACAGTGCCATACCATACAATACCATACCATACCATACCATACCATACAATACAATACAGTGCCATACCATACAATACCATACCATACCATACCATACCATACCATACCATACCATACCATACAATACAATACAATACAATACCATACCATACCATACCATACCATACAATACAATACAATACAATACCATACCATACCATACCATACCATACCATACAATACAATACAGTGCCATACCATACCATACCATACCGTACCTTACCATACTATACTACACCATACCACACCACAAAATGTCATACCATACATACCATGCCTTAATATACCACACCAGATCATACCATTTCACATCACACCATAGTCCATACCAGTGGCGAAGGTAACTAGGGCATACCATACATACCATACCATACCATACCATACCATACCATACCATACCATACCATACCATACCATACCATACCATACCATACCATACAATACAATACAATACAATGCCATACCATACCATACCGTACCGTACCGTATCGTACCTTACCATACTACATCATACCACACCACACCACAAAATGTCATACCATACATACCATGCCTTAATATACCACACCAGATCATACCATTTCACACCACACCATAGTCCATACCAGTGGCGAAGCTACCCAGGGCAACTGGTCATGCGATGCTAATAAACCTGCATCTCAATAGGTTAAAAACAATACATTTTTAAAGGTTTAAATAATAAAAATAATTAAAAATTTGCACAGCATGACCTGTTGCCTTGGCTAGTTTCGCCACTGTTCCATACCATCATATACCAAAATACTAAAACATGATATTTTCAGAAGAACATATTTAATGAAAAAGGATATGTTTTTCCAGATCCTGTCTGCCCATAAGCAAAAATACACACATTGTATCCATCAATGGCTGACTGTACGAGATTCTAAGAAAGGAAGAACAGTAAATCAGTGACCTAATATTCATAAGTTTACGTTAAAGTGTTAAACCCGTTTTGGAAAAGCGAATTTATTCGCGCGAAGAGACTTTTTCTCTTTGTCGCCATTGCGTTTGCTGACGTGATGCGCAGGCTTTAATTTATAACACTACATAGATGCAATTTTAGTTACAGATGTTAAAGACTCATGAACGAACTACTGCGTCTTGTTCCGACACATATGTAGTTTGTTTTTTAGTAAAAGGATGAGTACTCACATATGTGTCCTCAAATACTTTTTCTTGCGTGCTTTCTTCAGTAAATATTTGATCAAACTGGAATTCTTTCGGACCCCTCCCAGTTTCAACTGATATACTGTACTCGTCTGGTGATTTGATAACAGAATGATTGCCCTGGAATAGACAGAAATTTTTATTGTTATGATATATGGTATGGAATATGGATGTAATGGTAGACTGTATTCTGGTATGATGTAATATACCACATATGGTATGGTGTGTTGTGGTATAGTGTTGTATGGTGTGGTTTGTGATGGTATGGTATGGTATGGTATAGTATGGTATGGTATGGTATGAAATGGTACAGTAAGGTATGTTATGATATGATATGATATAGTATGGTACAGTAAGGTATGTTATGGTATGATATGGCATAGTTTGGTATTGAATGGTATGGTATGGTATGGTATGGAATGATACTAGTTTCTTAGTATTATCTAATGTAAGCAAGTTCTTACCCTTTCAAGTTCTGAACGACTAAGAGGTCTTGATCGACAGTAAACTCTGATTTTGCCTTTCATATCTTCCACCATATTGTAATATTTCTTACGAAGTATTCGTTCGCTGTTATAATTCTCAGTTAATGTTTTATTTTCCTCCTGTAACTTTTTAACTTCACCAGTTAATTCTTGAACTTTCTCCTGAGCTTCCAGCCCTTCCTGGTACGGTAAATAATTTTGTCAACACAAGGTGTTAAAAATCACTCTTCTCATAATTAAAAACCCTCGGCAAGCTAGAAAACATTGTTGAGAAAATGTTGTTTCCCAAAGCAGGGGCCGGTTGTTCAAAGCTGGGTTAGCTTAACCCTAGGTTAACCTAGAATTCAAAGCAAACTTCTTGACAGCTTGTCTATAAATTTGGAAATATTTGTTCAGAGATCTAGTCTGGATTGATAGGAGTTTTCTTCTCTGAAGTTTTGAAATAAACAGATGTGCAGAAATACACAAACTAAAACAGTAGATTAAATTTTAACCCAGGGTTAACGCTAATTCAGCTTTGAACAACCGGCGCCAGGGCAACTTGGAAATGTGGGAGAGGTTTACATTTTGACCTGTACTACCGCTACAATTGACCAATCAGAGGCAATTAATCCACCCTATTAGCCAATCAAATGCGTATTAAGCCTTTGAGAAGTAGCGGTAGTGGAAGTCAAATCTGAACATCGCCATTATCTCCGCAACAAAAAATATTACTTGGGAATTAAAACTTTTTTTCTCTTTGCGGAAAGAAAATTTTGTTACGATTACAATGTTGGGAAACCGGGGATTTATCAGAAGAAACATCGGATTTTCAAATGTTACCCCTGAGGCTTAAGTAATTTCGTAATTTAAGACCTTCTAACAGGTCTCATACTAGAAGTTACTCAGAATTTTGCAGGAAAGAATCGGCGATGTTTATATTTAAATGCGCGGTATGTTACAGAAACATGAACAAGATAATTCTACCTTTGCTGCGACTCCGAGTTTTAACAGTTCAGCCTTGTTACTCCTGCTTTCTGCATTAAGCGAATCGTAATTCTATAGAAAATACATAACCATCCGTTGTAATGTTTGTAAGCATATTGTTTACATATATAGTCTATACAATCAGTGACATTGAAAGGTGGATTACTTTTGTAAATAATAACTCCGGTCTGGTTCCATCGATATCAGTGTGTTTTGGAACTAGACTGAGTTCCGAAATATCACCCATGCACTCGAACCGACTTGATCTCGTAGCTCAGTTGGTAGAGTATTGAACTAGCAAAGCAAAGGTCGCGGGTTCGATTCCCAACGTTGTCAAGCAAACGTTTCAGCTTACCCGGTGCGGACACACTTACGAGACAACATCACAAACTTATATCTTCACCTGAGTCTCCACGAATTTTGTTACCAATTGTAGATACGTAATAACTTTAATAAACTTTCACCTTTTTCAATTCTTTGTGTTCTTCCTCCAGTTTATTCAGATTTTCTTTATTTTTTTCATTTTTCTTCTTTTCCATGTCCAGTTGTTTCGTCAAATCTACGATGATCAGTGCACATTAGTATACGGTTATATTGTGGAGAGAACAAAGTTGGCACAAGAGCAATGCCTCTTAGCATTGAATCAAACACATTAGATAAATAGGTCCACTTCAATCGATCGAGGGTACTAATAGGCTCTTTGTTATATAGTTATACTATACCACAAAGTAGGGGTGGACGCTTAATGTAATTCCTCTGTTCAATTATTAACCTAATAATATACAGTGCCAAAAAATGAAATACAGTGCAAATTTCTAAATTTTCTTAAATGTGACTTACGCACGTGACTGCGTAATTTTTTCATGTATGTTATTAATAAGTATTACTATGGTTTCTCATGCAATTTGAAAAAAAAACATATACTCGTGAGTTTTGATAGTCTTCGAACTCGTGCAATTTTGACAGTCTTTGAAAAACTCACTCGTGCATTCCCAAATTGCACTCGAAACCATACTATTACCTATACATATATACTACAGGCATAAGGATATACATGTAGTACACTACCTTTCGCAGGGTATCCCAATTTATAGACCACTTTTTCTTCTATACACAATCCTACTCTACCCATTTGACTTTATTTAGTGCATTAATTACGTAGTTGAGAACTTCGAAGGCGGGAATAATGTTATTCATACCTTTTACTTGTTTATCTGCTTTCTTTAAAGCAATTCTCTAGAAGGAAGAAGAGAGCAACACATGTCAGTTAGAAACTTTACAACTTAAGGGTATCAGTTTTACAGTGGGACAAATTAAGTTGTCAACATACTGTGTGACCACCCTTTTTAGGCTTTTAGCTGAACTAAACCTTAGTTGAACTGTTTTGTCTTAAATTTCATGCAATAAGGCTTAATCGTTGCCCTATCAATGCTTTGATGGTTGAAAAATTACTGTCACAGCTTTCTCACACAGTATGCAGCTATCATTCAAAGATTTTTTCTGTGTTGGTGTTGTGTACTCAGGTGAATATGATGTTTGTGATGTTACTCTGATGATGATGTTACTATGACGTGAATATGAAGTCCGGTGTGAGTATACACTCAGAGTAACATCACAAACATATCATTCAAAGGTTTTCAGAAATTATTGCAAGGGGGAAGTTGCCCCTTCCCCTGGCCTCCCTAGTGTCCCACACTGATTCGAACATAAATGAGTCACTGTTCAATGTTCGAATGAAAGTAGTAAATCGCTTACTTCTTCAGCACCTCCGCCACCAGCCGGTTTTGCTCTTGCTTCTTTCAGATCTTTTTCCAAAGACTTGATTTTTTGACTGTCCTCCTGCAAGATTTATGGTTTATAAATGCTTAATAATAACTTTTAAAGTAGGGAGGGGGGAGTATAACTGGAAACCTGGTATCATGCAGTCAGGTTTTGCTATTGGGTCTAAGCAAATGAACCTAATCTGACTTATACTACCGAGGATGATATAGTTCTTGGTTCCGAACCATATTCGATACCTTGATTGGACTGATGGTATGAATTGGAGTCAATTGTAGTGTTTATGTATGCAAATGAGCGCCTTTTGTCCTAACTTTTAGTTTTATGTCACTGAATGAATACGTTTTGTAACGCTGTATTATTTGATAGGGAGATTTTATAGGATTTTATACGCTATTCTTTCTTTTTTAACCGACCTGAGTAGCTTTCTTCAATGCTTCCACTTGACCGTGTAGCTTTTCTTTCTCTCTTTGGAGTTTTTCCTCACCACGGGTATCCTGGATATACGAATAGGAATAAAAATAAATCCGTAAGAAACAAACAGAAACTAAACGAGAATCCACACGTCAGTAATGCTTGCCTTTTTCTGAACGGGTGCTGGTGCTACTTTCTGAGTTGCCGTTGTCTCTAGTTCTTTAATCTACAATAAAATAATCATAAAAATTATCATCATTATACATTTAACTAAAAGTTTCGTGTTTTATATCTAAGCCAATTGCATAAATGCTGGCTAAAAAAGAATGAGTGACTGGATGGCATGGAGAAGAGTGAGATTTTCAAACCAATAAAAAGACAATGCAAACATTCCGATCACTGGATCGTGATTGGATGGCATGGAGAACAATCGGATTTTCAAAACAATGAAAAGGCAATGGAATATTCCGATCAATGAATCATGACTGGATGGCATGGAGAAGAGTGGAATTTTCAAACCAATAAAACGACTATGGAACATTCTGATCACTGGATCGTGATTGGATGGCATGGAGAACAATGATATTTTCAAAACAATGAAAAGGCAATGGAATATTTCGATCACTGAATCGTGAGTGGATGGCATGAATAACAATGGGATTTTCAAAACAATGAAAAGACAATGGAACATTCTGATCACTGGATCGTGATTGGATGGCATGGAGAACAATGATATTTTCAAAACAATGAAAAGGCAATGGAATATTTCGATCACTGAATCGTGAGTGGATGGCATGAATAACAATGGGATTTTCAAAACAATGAAAAGACAATGGAACATTCTGATCACTGGATCGTGATTGGATGGCATGGAGAACAATGATATTTTCAAAACAATGAAAAGGCAATGGAATATTTCGATCACTGAATCGTGAGTGGATGGCATGAATAACAATGGGATTTTCAAAACAATGAAAAGACAATGGAACATTCCAACCACTGAATCGTGAGTGGATGGCATGAATAACAATGGGATTTTCAAAACAATGAAAAGACAATGGAACATTTCGATCACTGAATCGTGACTGGATGGCATGAATAACAATGGGATTTTCAAAACAATGAAAAGACAATGGAACATTTCGATCACTGAATCGTGAGTGGATGGCATGAATAACAATGATATTTTCAAAACAATGAAAAGACAATGGAACATTCCAACCACTGAATCGTGAGTGGATGGCATGAATAACAATGGGATTTTCAAAACAATGAAAAGACAATGGAACATTTCGATCACTGAATCGTGACTGGATGACATGGAGAACAATGATATTTTGAAAAAAAAATGAAAAGACAATGGAACATTTTTAAAACAATGAAAAGACATTGGAACATTTCGATCAATGAATCATGACTGGACGGCATGGAGAACAGTTGAATTTCCAAAACAATGAAAAGACAAAGGAACATTCCCATCACTGGGCCATGACTGGTATGTTTGCTGTTACCAGGGAAACAATCGCTTTCAAAAGAAATCCGTCGGGCAGAACACGAATATATGAATATGCACCCCCCCCCCCTCCCGCCAATTATCAGTGTAGCTACGGCCCTGGCTGTTATAGAAAGGGCCATTCGGTCTTACCCTGTGTTGTAAACTTTTAATCTTCTTGTTATGATCGTCAACCTGCTTCTTGTGTTTGGTTTCAGCCTGGTTTGAAATATTTTTTATTTTTTCATCCATCTCGCTTCGGGCTTTCTTGTTGTTTTCCTGCAGATAAAAAGTCGAATCAAATTAATATGGCAAATGCCGCCGAATCTTCAAACTAAACTTAGTTTGTTGATAAGTAAATAGCTCCAGCAGTTCTAAATTTTAACTAGATGTGTTCGCAACAGGCGTGTAGCAAACTTGTCAACAAGTTGTAACAACGTTATTATTTTATCAAGTTGCTACAAACTTGTCACTCACAACTTGTAACAAATTTGTTGAGCTCAACAGCCTTGTAGCAAGTTGTCCACAAGCCGTTGACAACTGGTCAACAAGCTGGGAACAAGCAGTGCGAACACACCTGATGACAAGTTGTTGGAACAACATTGTTACAAGTCTCCCTGCACTGGTGCCCGTCACTTGTTTTTGGCTCCTAGTTTGAACATGATGCTTCCGAATGAAATTGGGCACCGTGCCCAAGAGGTAATACTCAACAACGGCACTGTGCTCAACATGTTTTGTGAACCATTTTGAACGTTAGGCACCAGTGCCGGGCACTCAGACTGCTGCAGGTTTGCTACAACTTGTGCGTTTTTACGTATAGTAAGAACCATCAAGTGTTTGCTACTAAGATTCTGACTAAGTGAAGCAAATGATGAGTAATACCAAGTGATTTCCAACCTGAAGTTCTTTCTTTGTCTTTTTATTTGCTTCGATAGTTTTATTTAAAGAATCAACTTTCGCATTAAGTTCATTGTTGCTTGCTTGCAACAGTAACACGTTCTTGGTCATTTCAACTTTTTCAATCTCGACCGCATTCTGTGTGGTACAAGGAATATAAAAGTAAAGCAACACGATGAAGATTCGCATATCTAAACTAAACATAATGACTCTATCATTTCTGGACAGTTTTCGCTAGGTTATCCTTTCATTATCCAATGCTACTACAGGACGAAACATAAACTAAAGTTAATAGACCTATGTATACCGGATAGCTTTATCAGTTCTAATATGTTCTTCCTAGAGGTCTAGTAAGTGTGATCTCTAATTGATCCAGTGTTACTACAGGAGGAAAGCTGAGTTCACCTGTTGAAACTAGACGGTATTTTGTAAAAGTCAAACTGGAAGCATTGTTCTAGTATTTGTAAATGCTCAGAAAGTGAGTACCAAAATCTCACTTACAACTTTGGCTTGACAGGCTTCCAACTCTTTGCCAACGTCAACGGGAAGATTGTCCCGCAATTGTTTCTCCAATTCTGCAATTCTTTCTTTCGCTTTGGCCAGTTGCTGTTGAAAAATATAAGAAATTAAACAATTTTCCATTAGTTAGTTTACATAGATAGTACAACATCAGGGAGAATAGCTATAAACACAGTAGTTTTTACCTCTTCGCGAACTTTAATTTCTCCTTGTAACGTTTCTTTGGTGGAAGCCAACTTCGCTTTCAGTTCATCCACTTCGGTACTGGAGCCATCTTGCACATTACTCATTTCCTGCATGGTTAAAATTACTCATTACAATATAGAATTGGTTGAGCAGATCGTCATAGAGAAACCGTAGCGAAAACATACAGTCGAACCTCTACAAAGGGACAACTCTCTTAAAGTGGAAGCGGGCACTTAACGTAAGGTCCCAATGAGTCGAATAACCTCTCTTAAGTGGACAATCGTTATGGATGATGTAAATATGCTAAATTAAATTTTCATAACAATCAATGACACGTAGGTAGGTAGGGTAGGTAGGTAAACACGAGGGGCGTGTTCATTGCATCAATATAAAAATATTTACAAAAATATTTACAAAAATCAACCTATTAGTATGGCTATAATAATAACTATATTTACAATAAATTACGTGAAATTGTGAGCAGTAATTCCATTTCTAAATATCAGCAAAGAATCTAAATATCAGCTGAGGTTAAGGAATTCCACAATTTCGCTCCATCATACGAAAAAATTTTTTTAGATTTTCAGTTCTAGGAAAGGTTATTTGCAGAGAGGTAGTGGAGCCCCTGAGCTCATAATCTGTGATGTCACTTTGCCTTATTAATGCAGTATTTCTATGTGGTGTAAACGCTAATAACTAAAACAAACTTTTCTTTCTTTAATCCGTCTTTCGAGCAACCGCAAGAAAAACTGTCTCCATGAAACTTGAACTCGCAGGGAAATTCCACAGCATAACCAGCCCCTTCAGTTGACACGTTTACCTTTGATCACTACTGTTCCTAAATTAGTTGGGCGTTGCCCCCCTACTGCATGTGGTCCCGAAGGTGTTCGGTTATTAGAGGTCAGAATGTACTACTATTTCGTTTTAAGAAGTAACTCATAGTACGTAAATACACTTACAATTGTTAACTTTTCTACTTCTTCCAAGAGAGCGCTGTTTCGTAATTTTTCTTGCTCTTTCTCTTTTTGAGCTTGTGCCAATTCAACCTTTAATTCCTCCATTTTATTATTTACCTCCTATAAAGAAACATAGTCACAGCATCACACCTCGGTTGGATACCATTATGTAAACATGCAGTCTCAGAAAATTTTTTTGTCATGAACCTCATGTTCGAAAGATGATTGGTCCTTACCTCAATGGATTCTCCCTGTGGCACATTTCTTACATCAATCAAGTCTTGACGAGCTTCATCAAGTTCAGATTCTAATTCCTGAACTCTCTCTTTAGCGTCACTTAACTTTCCCTGTAGTTCATTCTTGGTTCGATCTAGCTCCAGATTCAGAGAGTCTCGCTCTTCTTCAATCTTGCTTAATTTCTCTTCCAGTTCTTCCAAGTCTTTACTGATACTTCCAGCTAGAAAGATGATGACGCAATCCTGAATTTCCTTATGAAAGCTAACCAGGGTTTATAACACTAGTTAGGAATGGGTCATTATTTATGGTGGAGAATGGCACCGAAGACAAATGTTTTTCTTGGTAAACGTTATGTGATCCAAGCATAAAAAGTCAAAATTTTTACTCCACCTCAAATGTCAATTAAAAACTAAATGCCCACCCCTGGCCAAAAACTTTACAAAAGGATATCATTTGTGCAATTTTCTGCAGTCTAAAGTTTCATGTTGTCTGCACATGTACTTTCTTTGGAGACACCATTTGCCTCATGACAAATCGGAAAATGATCAAGATAGTGACTCTGATTGCTTAACACATTGTATTGACAAATGACTGTTGACATTGCTTTTTAGTCTTGAATATTTGATCCATGCTTTGGAAATGTCAATACATATTTATTGCCCAACCCTTCGGTTGTTTTGTTTTTCATTTATACCTAACCTTTTACTCACTCAAATGTTTTTTTACCCAACCCTTTTCTCTTCGGTGCCACCCCCGCCATAAATGATGACCACTCCCTTTGTTTCAACTGACCTGGGTTGAATTTGGATTGGGCGCATTTAGACTTAAACATCTAACCCGAGTATAAGTTAAATCTTAAACCGAGCGATATATCACAATCTTTGTTGAGATGCCGTAGTCGTTACAGGAGCAAGCGCCTTTCGCCGCTGACATCGTGGAATTCTGGGTTTTCTCCGGGTTCTCTACCTTCCTCACGCAGGTTATGTTGACGGAGTAAGTTAGAATAAGTCAATTAGCATTTCTCACGGCGCCATTTTTGGGTGGCTTTTCAGCCGACGTCCGCGAGATAGGTCCACATAACAGCGACGTTTTATAATTTTTTGGACAAATGATGGTAAATTTGCTTTGTACATGGTTAGTTTATTTTAAAAAATTGCTTTTCACTATGTTTTAATTGTCTGCATTGGTTAACGAGAATTAGATGCAAAAGACTATACATAGTTCGGCATTGTACTTTCCATGATCACAACTACGTAGGGTACAAGTTAGAGAACAAAGTGAGTACCTGGTATGGGCAATGTCTCTGGTACGCTGCCTTCCTTCAACATCGTCATCACAGCAATCTTCGTTTCATTCTCCTGAACTTTTGCCTGCTCTTCGGCCAGCTTTTGAACCAAATTCTGGTACTCTTCACTGTACAAGAGAGATAGCAAAATGTTAAATTACACTACCTTTATTTATATTGGATAGATGTATCAGTTCGAAACAAAACAACTCCGGTTTTGGTAGAGTCAAACTGGAAGCATTTTCTCGCATGCCACTGAGGCTCAGTCACCAACTCTGCATTCCTTACCTGACATCTTCGGAAATTTCCTTCTCATCATTTTCCTGTTGATATTTTTCCTTCCACTCTTCCACTTCACTTTTCAACTTTTCAACTTCCACAAGCAAATCAGTTTTTTCTTCGACGGCTTTCATAAGTTGGACCTCTGTTTCCTTCTCGTCATGGTTGGGTGAAACCGTTGATAGAAGACCTTCCAACTGCAGATGCAGGGCCTCGGAACGCTGTCGTGATTGCGTGAGATCCTGGAGTATGCATAGAATTATATTATAATTATCCAGGAAAGAAATTAGGAAAAGTAGTATATATTTACGGAAAGTAGAAGGGTTATGTGCACAAGCTTTTTATTACCCCCACTGTCGAATTTTTGGCACTTTCTAATTCTTTTGTCTAAATCTGTCTTAGGGTACTCATGAGTTGTGCCAACACAAGACTCAATCCATCTACTTAATATACTGGATAGCACTATCAGTTCTAAACTGTTCTTCCTAGAGATCCAGTAAGGCCCATCCTAGCTTGATGTCGCAGCGTTATTACAAGAGGAAACCTACAATAAATTAACTTTGTTTATACTGGATAGCTCTATCAATTCTAATTTTTTTCCCTAGAGGTCCAGCAAGGCCCATCGCTTGTTGTTCCGATGTTACTACAGGAGAAAACTCAATTATTAACTTTATTTATATATTGGATAGTTCTACCAGTTCTAAACTGCCTATACAGTCCGGTAAAGCCCATCCATTGTTGTCCCAGCGTTACTACAGGAGGAAACCTACACTAAGTTAACTCTATTTATACTGGATAACTAGCTCTATTAATTCTAAACTGTTCTCCCTAGAGGCCCAGTAAGACCCACTCCTTGTTGTTCCAGTGTTACTACAGGATGAAACCCACACTAAATTAACTTTATTTAGTTCTAAACTGTTCTCCCTAGAGAACCAGTAGTGTTATTAATCCTAGCTAGTTGTCCTAGGGTTTCCACAAGAAGAAACCCACACTATATTAACTTTTACTGAATAGCTCTATAAGTTCTAAACTGTTCTCGCTAGAGGTCCAGCAAGGGCCATTTCTTGTTGGTGCAGTTTTAGCAATTGGTTTTACCGCGGAGGAAAACGGAATACCCGGAGAAAAACTGCGGTGTTTTGTACAGTGAAACTGAAGGTACTCTTCTCACATATGCCTGAGGCGAAATTACCCCCAATGAAATTATCAGGCTCAACCTTTTTTTATATAAAATCTATGTTAATTCCTACCTGACGAACAGAAGTCAATTGGGCTTCATATCTTTCTTTGTCTGTTGTCAATGACTTGATATTATCTTCAAATGCCGCAAGATTTTCATTCTTTTTAGCCAGATCTTCCTCCAAACTGTTTATCTTTTCTTTCTGGGTGAGTATTTCTGTCCTTAGACGAGCTTCTTCTTCAGAAGATATAGCGACAGCTAAAGAAATTTAATACACAATTTTTGATAGCTGAAAAGAAAGTCAAAAGAAATTCAGCATTCCCAATTCCTTCAGTGCTTTTAAGAGGGGAATCTCTTGTATGTTCCGTAACAAGCGCTCAAAACTAATGGACATGCTTTCCACTTAGTTATGACTGTATTTAATTTTTTTAAATTTTTTATACGTTTCTCAAGCGGCAAACAAACTTGAAAGGTATGTGTAGTGCTTTATCTGTAAAATAATGTTAAAATGAAGAGGCTTTAGATGGTACGCCAAAGAGAAAATGATGCCTGAAGTTCAGTAAGTTTTGCTGATATTGCTGTATAATTTTACAGCATCAATGATATAATTGTATTTAAATTGACAATACTACAAAATAAAGCTAAAACAAAGTAATTTTGAAAGGAATGCCAAAAAGATTTTAGGTTTTGAACACTTTTCATCGCAAATACGCGATATTTAAAAATTGCTCTGGAAAGGTTTTTTATTCCATTCAAATGTAGAGGTCCAGTGTCGATAATATTCTACAATAAACTGTCGTTTTTGTCACAACCATGCACCTTTTTCAGGTTAGTAAGAGTTAAGTAAGTAAGTGGGGTGTGCTAATCATCCTTACTTGCAGCTGAGAGCTAAGCTGAATTGCGAAGGACGCGGCTCAACCTGATCCAGTCGTAGGCTTTCTAAGGGCGCCTCTGGCTGCCACCTTATGACTCACGTCTGATCATGGAGCACACTCACGGTGGAAGGGTCAGTTTGGGGCTTATCCCAATCCATCTGGTCAACATTCCCAGCAGAAGAAAACCAGAGTACCCGAACAAAACCCACGACTTTCGGTATAACGTTGACTGACTCTTGTCACATAAGTGTCATGAATCCATAGCGAGAATCAATCCCATGCACGATCTCAGAGGTGAAAGCTTGCTCTGACAAATGCGCTACCCCTATTGTGTAGAAAGTAAAGTGAAAAAGATCTAACCTGCTATGGTCTTCTCTTTATCTGTTTTCTCCTCAGAAGATTGTTGGATTTCTTCTCCAACCTGTTTGGTGACAACAGTACTTGTGGCAACTGCCACAGCTTGTCTGGAAAACAAAATACATATTTTTAAAAAATTGTAAAGTGTTCATTATTCACGGGATTTTGCCAGCACAGTGACTAGTTAATGCATGCGTCTTTGATCTGTGTGACCGGGGTTCAATTCCTGAAAAATCCAATTTTGTTCTTCCAATTTTGCTCGACCAAACACCGCAGGTACAGCGGTTCCCTTCAGTATATGGTAACACTGAAACAATACTGAACATCCCAACTGAACATCTGGGAGAAACAGTTTTGTTTCTATAAAGCTATCCAGTATATATAAACTTTGCGATTTGTGATTTTCAACTTGACTAGTTGTAAATCGCAAACACGTGAATCTGAATCGATTGCTGGACTTGCTTCAGTCCTATTAACATTGAAACATATTTCATTACGTCGAAGATTAAATAGGGGGATATTTCCAATAAATTTACTGGGTTATCTAACTGATCCGTAGGCTTACTTTTGAGTGTTTTCCAGTTCAATCTTCAAATTTTCATTTTCTTCTTTCAGTTTTTTCAATTCCACTTGCAATGTCTCAAATTCCTTCCCGCTCTTTTCCTTCACTTCATTTTCCCTCTTGTCCGCCTCATCTTTCTCTTTTGCCACTACCGTTTTCAATTCTTCATTTTCCTTTTCAATCTCTTCCACTTTAGATCTCATTCCCACCAGTTCTGCTTCTTGTTTCTGTTTGAGACCGCTGATTTCTTCTTCAAAAGTTGATCTCGTTTTCGCCATCTCCTCGACGTGTTGTGTGTCATTGTTGCCGCAAGCTTCACGCAACTGAAGTAGTTCTGTTTCCAACTCGCGATTGTTGTTTTGCTTTTTGCTCAGCTCTCGCTTCACTACATAACAAAATAGAGTTCAATATAGTTCTGAAACCTTGGTCTGACAATATGTACAGTACGTATGGCGCGGAGGGGGGGGGGGGTTGCTAATTATCATTCATGCTTGCAGCTGGGAGCTAAGCTGGATTATAAAGAGAACACATACATGTATGGTAATTTTTCCTGAATTATTATTAATTTTTACTTCTTAATTACATCTTCTTGTCTACCTTGAACATGATGTTTGTGATGTTACTCTGAGTGTGCATCCACACCGGGCAAACTAAAAAGTTTGCCTGACCACGGTGGGAATCCAACCCTCGAGCATGGAAACACAGAAACATAGAAACATAGAATCATAGAAGCATAGAATCATAAAAGCATAGACACGTAGAATCACAGAAGCATGGAAACATAGAAGCATAAAATCATAGAAGCATAGAATCATAAAAGCATAGACACGTAGAATCACAGAAGCATGGAAACATAGAAGCATAGAATCATAGAAGCATAGAATCATAAAAGCATAGACACGTAGAATCACAGAAGCATGGAAACATAGAAACATAGAATCATAGAAGCATAGAATCATAAAAGCATAGACACGTAGAATCACAGAAGCATGGAAACATAGAAGCATAGAAGCATAGAAGCATAGAATCATAGAAGCATAGAATCATGGAAACATAGAATCATAGAAGCATAGAAACATGCATGGAAGCATAGAATCATAGAAGCATATAAACATATATAGAGGCATAGAAACATTTCTGCATGGAACAAATATCATATTCACCTGAGTAGCAACACACACAAAATGCATACCTTCAACATATTTCGCATGTTTGTTATCTAACATGTTCGTGAGATTCTTGATAATAACAATCTGGTAAAAAAGGGAAATTGATCGATGAATGGCACAGTTAAAGACTCGAGTCATGAGACCTGGATTCGAGTCGGAATTTTTGTGACTTGTAACTTGATTTGTTAATCAGATCAACGACTTGTGACTTGACTTAGACTCGTAAGAAATGACTTGTTACCAATTGTTCAGGTGAACAATGCTGAACAATACAATATTGTTAACAACCAGGGACAATATGGGCAGCAAAATACTGTTCAGGCCTGTTTTCAACAACATTGTTACAGGATAGGCGTTTTTGCATTGTAGGTAAAGCATTCCAAAGCTGATGGTATCAGTTTAAAGAAAACGCAATTGAACTTCCTGTTTTCCTTACATTAATTGGTAGCGAATTCTACTACTCACTCTTTCTGATTCCAATTTTGAAAAATCTTCTTTATTCTTTAACAAAAGTTGTCTTTTCTCTTGAAGTAATGCCTTGTTCTTCTCTTTTAAACTCTAAAAGATGATATTACTGCATGTGATATAACATAACCATAAAACTCTATAAAATGGACACTTCTCGGCAGTGGTGTAGCTCTGGAACGATCATGTTTTACTTAGACGCTAATAAGATTGAACTGCTACATCTATCAAAATGTACCTAAGCAACATTATACAAAGCAAGTCGTATAATTTACATAACTGCGTTGTATTTGTTATTTAATTTGAGTTGGACAATTTCTGTGTAGTTGCATAACCGATTAACCATCCACGGACATTCAACTTCAATGTCTATTTCCTTATTTCCTATTTACAACACTGGAAAGGATAAACATTTTGGGATAGTAACTTCAAAAACTCATTAA